CGGGCGGGGCGCCGGCGTCAGGTCCCGCGCGCTGCGCTCCCCGCGGTCCGCGGCCCCTCCATTCAAACCCGCGAGGACGCGCGCCCGGCCACGCCCAGCCGGGCGGATGGCCGGGGGCTCCCGCGCTCCCCGGCTCCAGCGAGCGACGGGGCGCGGGGCTTCTCCTTCTAAGGAAAAGGCGCCCCGGGGTGGGGCCGTGGAGACGCGGCCTGAAGCTCCCGGGCGCCTCCCCAGCTTAAGGAGGACCGACGGAGTTCCTGCCGGTCAGGAGGCCTGGCGGGCGCTAGGACCGAGCTCCGGGCCGGGCCGGGCGCTGCGGGTTGGTGAAGTCCGTCCGGCACGTGTTGTGCGTTGCAGGTGGACTCTGGGGTTTGCACGTGTTGAAGCCCTTGTGGAGACCTCCCGCTATGGCCTCCTGGTGCTTTTCCTGAACAGTTGTTCTTAGTGAAGTCAATTCGCCAATCTCATTCCTTCCAGTTAGGGTTTTTCATTAAGGCATCCCCTTAATGATAACAGCTCTGCTGTTCAGAGGTTCGAGTTCAATGACTCACAGATTGATTTCTATGACGTGTGTGGCATGGGGGTCATGGTTGTTTATTTATTTATTTTTCATCTGGATGTCCAATTGACCCAGCATCGTTTTCCCAGTGAACTGGAGGAGAGTCTTGACATCTATCAAGAGCCTAAGTGTGTGTGTGTGTGTGTATGAATCCCTGTGGACTCTGTACCATCCTCCTGGCCTTTTCCTTTATCCTTGAACCAGCTTCACTCAGTTTGAACATGATGAACCAACTTGTCCTAATTCACATACATGCAACACTTTACCCAACTGCTGTAAGGTCTTTTCAAAATCAAAATAGACCACCATACCTGGGCCATAAACAAGTCTCAGTAAATTTCAGAGGACTGAAGTCATACAATATGACCTCTCAAATTAAAACTCAGTAACAGAAAAAGTAATACAACACCTCCAAATGCTTAGAAATTAAACATCACACTTCAAAATAATCACTGGGTCAAGTCACACATCACGATGGAAGTTGTAAATATTTTGAAGTGAACAATAGTGAAAATACAGCATATCAAATGGGATGCAGCTACAGAAGCACTTAGAGGAAAATTTATAGCTTTAGAAGAAAGGTGGAAAATTAATGCTAGGGACCAGCAGATGGCATAATGGTTACATTGCTGGACTGCCATACAGAGAACTACAGTTCAAATCCCAAACCTGGCAGCTTGAAACTCACACCAGGCATGTGTGCATGTATGCCCAAAATCTCAAGAGGAGAATGGAGGAGAAGGGATTGCAAAGTGGCCATCCCTGGGGGTGGGGAGGGGTAATTTCTCACTTTTTATTTCTCTGTCTCTCCAGTAAGCACGTGTGCCCCATAGCAAGAATCTCTCTTAAAAAAGAAAAAAAAATTAATGCTCTAAGTTCCAACTCAAGAACAATAGTTTTAGCCCAAAGATAAGTGGAAATAATAAAAATAAGAGGGCCAGCAGATGGCTAGCAGTTACATTGCTGGACTTCCACACAGTCAACTGTAGTTCGAGTCCCAGGCCCAGTGGCTTGAAAATCATGCCAGCAGATGGAGTGATGGTTACATTGCTGGACTCCCGTGTAGTTGACTGCAGTTCAAAGAGGGAACCCAGCAGCTTAAAACTCATACCAGACACATGTGCATGTGTGCCCAAGATTCCAAGAGAAGAATAGAGGAGAAGGGATTGTGGTGTGGCCATCCTCTCTGGGGGGTGATTTCTCGCTTTCTGTCTCTCTGCTTCTCTCTGTCTCTCCAATGAGCACATGCACCTATAGCAAAATTCTCTCAAAAGAAAAAAAAAGATACCACAAATGATAGAGAAAACAAAGCCAAAAGTTTATTTTTTTGAAGAAAGTAATAGAAATGATAAACCCCTGGAAAGATTAGTATGGAAAAAGAAAACACAAATCCCAGTCTTAAAAATAAGAAAGAGGGTGTCACTAAGAGATTACAAGCATTTAAAGGACAATAATAAAAATAACGTGAACAAGTTCAGGATAGTAATTTTAAAAAAATTTTTTTTAGGTTTTTGCCACAGGGCACATGTGCTCACCAAAGGCAGACAAAGAGAGAAAATGAGAAATTACACCCCTGCCCAGGGAAGATGGCCATGCTTCAGTCTTTTCTCCATTTCCCTCCTGGGACTTTGGGTACACACACACTTGTGATTTTCAAGCCACTGGGTCCAGGACTTCAACCATCGTCAGTCATGTAAGAATCCAGTGGCTTGAAAATCATGCCAGCAGATGGAGTGATGGTTATATTGTTGGACTTAACCACCACACCTCCTGCTGGCCCCATGACAATGATCCTGATACATTAAGATGAAACACCATTTACCAAAACTGACAATAGAAGAAATAGAAAAAAGGGTAGTCCTATTTCAATTAAATAAATTCAATCCAGACCATGAGATGGCATAGTGGTTATGTTGCTGGACTCCCACATGGCCAATTGCAGTTTAAGTGCCAGACCCAGTGACCTGAAACTCATGCCACGTGTGTGCCTGCCCAAAATCCTAAGAGGAGAATGGAGGAGAAGGGATTGCAGCATGGCCATCCTTCCTGGGGGTGATTTCTCACTTTCTCTCTCTTTCTCTCACCAGTGAGTGCATATGCCCTATAGCAAAAATCTCTCTCAAAAAAATCAATTAATCAATTAATTGAATTAATAATTTAAAAGTTTCCTACAGGCCAGCAGGTGGCATGGAGATTAAGGCAGCTGGATCCCACATGGCTGACTACACAGCTCAAGTCCCAGATCTTGGCTTCAAAAACACTGGACACATGTGTATGCATGCCTCAAATCCTGAGAGAACAGAGGAGCAGGGACTGCAGTGTGGCCATCCCCCAGGGAGATGGTTTCTCATTTTCTCACTCTGTCTGGCAAGTGCGCATCTGCTAAAATTAAATCAATTGAGTAATTAAATTATGTCCTTCCCTCTCTCTGTTTCTCTGTCTCTCTGGCTACTGTGTGCCCCTAAAGCAAACTAAAAATAAATAAATAGGGACCAGCGTAATGGCTA